CTTTTGAGAGACAAGATTTCTCTTTATTAAATCAGTGAATATAAGTTGTCTTTAAAAGTCCATAATGCTGTACTAAATATTTCAGTTTACTTTCCAAGATGGCATAGTTGTGTTCGTAGTGAGTCATCTTATCTAAATATTTTTTGTTTTATTCTTTATTTTTGGTCGAAAAAATATATATTTTGCAATATTTCTCTAGTACAGTATGTATTTCACCATTAGATTCGTCTGGTGGTTGAAGAGGGTCTTAATCAGCTGCCTTACTCTGACTGCACCATTACCACTCCAACTGGGTGGCAATACCAGGGCTTGCAGTTTGTCAAAGGCAATTGTGGAGTTTCCATTGTCAGGTCTGGAGAAGCTATGGAACAGGTAAGTTGTAGATGATTTGTGCAGCTTTTGCATCTACACTACAGTACTATGTATGCACAGCTCCTTCCCGACTTACAACCTACTCGACTTATGACCACTAGCACTTACTGCCTGCCTCAGTTGTACCAAAATTTGGTCAAATTACGTATTTTCGAGTCCCAAAGTCAGTACAGTACACAGAAAATTTTTTTGTTTGTAATTCACTTTAAAATGGCTGGCAAGCTTAAAAGTGAGTGTTTTGTGGTGCTGAGAAGAAAAGAGACACCCATTTTAGATTTTCTATGGATTATTTAAGCATTTCCGACTAACGACCATTTCGATTTACGACCTGGATGTCGGTCCCTAACCCCGTCGTAGGTCGGGGAGGAGCTGTATTTGCATTCAAAAAGCACAGTATAGACACTGGTACAGAGATATTAAAATGAGTACTGTTTTTATATAAGTAACGGTTTGTCAACAACATGCATCCTGGAAGATTGACTTTGGTACACAAATGTACGCTAGGTTACTGTACCCCAATGAGAAGAAAAAAACACATTAATATACAATACTGTATATAAACCTTTATGCATATTTGTGTGGGGTTGAGGTGGGTACTGACTGTATCATGTATATGCTATATCTATTGACAGGGGTTACGATCATGTTGCCGATCCATCAGGTTGGGGAAGATTCTAGTCGAATCTGATTTGGAAACCCACGAGGCACGGGTTGTGTACGCAAAGTTTCCAGATGATATAAGCCAACGGAAAGTTCTCCTGATGTACCCCATTATGAGTAAGTTATTAAGATATTTTGGAGTAAGACATACAATACAGTACAGTATACAAGTATACAAGGTAGAACAGGTATGCAGGATTTTTCATGGCAAACATATACATATATGAGTGACTGAATAAACAGTAGTTCTCATATTTATAAAAAGTATCTTTTATAATACAGTATATAATAGTTTATTGAATTTGGAATAATGCATAAACATTGTGGTGGCAGGCTCCCTATCTTTCTATTTACAGGTATATTAAATTGTCCTTAAATGTAATGTGCAGCATTCGGCAAATTTCACTGAAGATCTGTACACCTTGTCGTCAACCAACTTTTATGTCTGGCCTTTCACCCCTTCTCTTCCTCAGTATCATCATTCTTTTTCTCCAGTCAGCATTCATATGATCTTAATTCATTGCTCCTTTTTTCACTGTTTATATTAGTACAGTAATGTATTACAGGTATATATTCAAATCCTCTACATATAACAATTCTCATGCCTTTTGTCATATAATCCTCTAGCCTATTAAAATGTGTACATCACTGCTTTTGTGCACATCTCCCATTGCTTTTTATCAGGCATATTGTGAGAAATGGTCAATATCTTTGGTACAAGTTTGTTCAGTGTGCACTTACTTTAATACTGTGCACATCTCCCTATAGTTGTTCTCCATTCACATGTACCGGTAATCCTGACATTGAATTCTTTTGGAGAACCTCTTGAGTTTGCAAAGGAATATCTAACAAGAGTACTGTAGTTGATATGATGGAATAAATATAAGGAAAATGGACATGTAGGAAGAGTACATTAAAGGGGAGTAACTGGAATTAGTAATACAAGAAGAACAGTGATAATTTAGGACATTTTGAGAGTTTTTAAACTTTTTGCATTTATTGGAAGAAATTATGAACAATGTATACATTGCTTAAGTGGAAAGTGTTCAATTGGACATCGAATTTTTTTAATTATTTCCAACCGAAGTTTTCTAGAACAGTATATCTTATTCCAGGTTCATATAATTTATGAGTTGTGATATTTCAGGTTCAGGCAACACAGTGATCAAAGCAGTTAATGTCCTTCAAGAACATGCAGTAGATGAAGAAAACATCATTCTTCTCAACTTGTTTTCCACCCCAGCAGCGGCTCGCACCATCACTGGGGCTTTCCCAAAAGTGAGCAACAGTGCATTTCTTGTTGATACCTTCTTGCAATCTCTGTCACTGTTATTGATGCTAAGATGCTTTTAGCAGGGAATCCTTCAAATGAATGTTAAAACTGGTTGTTACAACCCAAGGTATTCCCTATAATATTTATATATTTTGTATAAAATTACTGTACAGTATTACAGCATTCCAATAATTTCAACTAAAGATTCCTGGATTTCCTATCATAATTTGGCTAATAGTCTGAGAAAAATGGTACAGTATTATCATATTTCAGTATTACTCATGGTATTGGTTAGTGAATGACCTTGGTGTGAGATTCTACAACCAAGGCTTAAAATGGATTTTTTTCCCCCTATCATCCCAAATTCATTCTTATTTTGGCTCTTCATTGGAAGGGCTTTCAAAGATGCCTGAAACACTACTGATTGTGTAAGCAGTGCCTGTCAGATTCAATGAATGCAAAACTTTCCATCCCAAAACTGACTATTGATTTTCTGGTCTCCACACTATCCTTAAAATGCCATTAATTTTAAGTCTTTGTAACTGGATATTTTACTTTTTGCTGAATAGAAATTTGTCGCAAACAGGGAATCGAACTTTGTCCAACACAACCATATTAGTCCAACACTCAAAGTGAAGACTTTTTTCATTATGGTTCTTCTTTATCTTTCAGATGCACATTCTTACTTCAGAGGTTCACCCAGTTGCACCAAACCACTTTGGTCAGAAGTACTTTGGTACTGACTAATAACAATGAGTGTTGGCAATTAGAACAATTCATATATGTACAGGAGACTGGATAAGGCCTGAGACACCAGATCTCACATCTAGCATGAATTCTACTAGAAGCAATGGGGGTAAAATACACCATCTGGCAATGTAAAAAAAAAATCTGGCAAATCAATACTGTACACTGCATGTCCTATATTATTCCGAAGCAAGATGCTAGGAGGATAATTTTGGTGATGTGGTTTGCCGTTTAGGACACAAGCTATTTTAGACCTAACAATGTAATTTTTATATTTTTAGGCACAGTACTGTATGCTCGATATTTTCTTATGTATGAATGGAAAAAATGTGGGAATCACTATTAAAAATAGGATTGGCCAGATTTTCCATCTTAACAGATATTTATTTCTTTACAAAAGAAAGGCCCCCAAAAAACTTCCAGAGCACAGTGTACATTATTTGTAATTCATTACAGCTATGTAATTATGAAGACAATAATAATCACTGTATTTTCAACAATCTTAGATCATCTTAAAAGCACAATAATAATGGCTAATTTGGTGGATTTTATGTATTTTCCTGTCTGACAGTTTTGTCAAATGCAAGATGCGAGATCTTGTGTGTCTTGCGCCTAAATGAAAATTAGGTATGTAGAGATGCCAAGTGAGATGAAGTTCAAGTTGCCATAGATGTGTGCAGTATGAATCAGTTTCATTATGGGTGAGTTGCTTTACTTGTAAGTGCAGATGCACATCAGTTTGTTAAACTTATCATTTATGATACTGTACTGTATTAAAAATGTACACAGATGTACGGGCTATATTCTTCAAGGTAGTTAGGCTGCATTTGCAGTATTAGCTTTTATTTATATTTTCATATTATTTATACACCTTATTTCTATATTTCTTCTAAATACTAAATTTGGCAAGTGTTATTGTACAGAATGCAAGATATTCTTTAATTCACTGAAAGTATCTTGAGTTTAAGTAGTTAATAACGATATGCTGTGATTCATTTAGTCCAGTTTATTAGTTAACACTGCCAAGTAATGTATATAGAAATTACTTTATAGAGAAAATATGTGATTCACTCAGTACAGTATATATATAAAGGGTCAGAGTATGAATTTTATATAAAATAAGGAGTAAATCATGAAAAGGCAATGTGAAAAAAGATGACCCATGATGACCAATGTTATGTGACTATAAACAGAATTCGCCCTTATCCCAGCTGTTTCTCCCTCGCTGTTCATCTTATATTTATATAAATTTTAAAACAGGCTAATTGTTTCTGGAGTTTTTCATTGATACGAAGTATCTTGCTTCAATAAATTCTGGTAAGATTTTCAAGTGGTTTAAGCTGTTAAAGAGAGGAATAGCTTGGCTTGCTGCAGCTTCCATTGAGGTACAGGGCAATTCAAATTGTTTGAATAGTAATTTCATGCATTTATTATTTTATTTTTTCAAACTACCGAGTCTCAGCTCCATCTCATCCTGTTACTCTCACCATCATCTCGTCTCATTGTAACTACCAATTTGTCCCCAGAACATTCCTATGTTTGGGAGTCCATGCCTCCTATTCACCTTCTCTCGGATAGAAACATGTCAGTCTGTCACTCAAGACCAGAACGACACAGTTTCTTAAGTGGTAAATGGAGGACATAAGAATATTTTATTATTTGCATCATTTTACATAACTTGATGCAGCTGACTCCCATTTATACAAATGTACATCACATGCCATGTACTGCATTTGATACCGAGTGGCAAATCTTTCCATTTTTGTCCTATACTCAATTAACTAAAATAAGTAATACATGTATTTATGACTGCACAATCTTTATAATTGCAATTTTTTTAGCAAAGCTTACATGGGCTTGCGATAATTTTTAAGCCTATTTCAAGCAATATTTCTCAAAGAAAAAAGTTATGTATACTGTGTCCAAAGTTAAATAAATAAAGAAAGTTTTTTTTTTTTCATTTCCAGAAATAACAATAGATGCCACCAATTTTTACCCATTAAATGGTGATATAGGCAAGGTTAATACTATATATAACAGAAAGTTTAGCTCTAATGGTTGTGCTCTGCACTTCTGACCAAACAAAAATTTTATTCCTTGGCTAAGATTGGCTGATAAATTATTATATATGCTGTTATGTGCACTGACCATTAAAAATCTCCTAAATGGTGTGGATAAGTGTAATCTGACAACCTCAAATGGAGTTGGTGATTCTGTAAAATCATAAGAAACAGCACGAAGGTTGTTAGGTTGTTTTTAGCTCAAATGGATTAGAACCTTCATGTAAATTATAGTTTAAGTGTTTGTATATTTACGGCACTCTATCAGAAACCTACGTATAGTTATACAGAATTAAAATAAGTTCAACAATGAGGATATGGTGATGAGGGGGTGGTGGTACAATGATCGCATGCTTTCATTCCATGTCAAATAAGAGAAGGATGATATCTAGTGTGATCCTACTGAACATTACAGGTTTTCTCCAGGTACTCTAGTTTCCTCCTGCACTAACACCGGACACTCCGGGACAGACTTGTCAGGAAAAATGGAGGGATTAGGGGATTAGACAAACCATCGGCTTCCTTCCCTTGTCACAGTGGTTAATTAAATTAAATAGCCCAGTAATTTTTTCTTTGTTGGAAGCACTTCTCGTGCCATTTGCAGCAACTCCCTAAACTTTCTCCAGCCACTTCTAACTCTTGCAAATGAGCTACCTGCAGCAATGATCATGTCACCCAGGTAACAGAACTTATTGATAAAGTCAAGTTTCTCCAGGCTAGTTAAGGCCACATGATGACTTGTGCATACATGACACTTAGTGTCAACAACATCCTGCGGTTTACCATATCCTCCACTGAGTAAAAAATTCTAAGAACACTAGATCCTCTTAATCTACAAGCTTATTAAGTGAAAAATCATATAAGTGGCAAATATTAAAATCAAATAAATCAATGTAATACAAATTTGGTTTAGGTATACAGTATGGTCTGCATTTACGCGGTCAATTGAACCCATGGAGGTCCGCGCAAAACGAGAAACGCGTAATCGAAATAAGAGAACATATGGGATTAATTGAAATAGAGACTGGGCCGACTCCCAAACTCCACTTTTTTCGACAATACGTACGTTGTAGTAAAAATAACATCTTAATTTTATGATGGTATGCACACACAATCAATATTTAAGAGAAATATCAATAATATTAGGTTTTTTAACACTTACGTTAGTAGAAAAGATGGCTGGGCACACAGGGATGGGAAGTTGGTTCTGAAGCAGAGGGCAGATTATTGGCCCTCACCTGTATCACTTGTATCATTATCCACCACAGAGGCTTGCAGGGCCTCTTTGTCAAACCCCTCAAAGTCCATATCCTCACTATCACTGTCACTGACTTGGGCCGGCTGTGGTGGTGGCGGGTGAAGAACTCGGTAATGTTTTGATGACTGGGCGACCTTGTGCGTACGCTTCCCGTGTAAATGATGAAATTTACCGTGTAATTAAAACATTTCATTCTGGCAAGGCACTGCGTAAACAAAAGCAGCATAAATCCAGACTATATTGTAGTACAGGATGATACTTTTTTCTAATACCAACCACAAAAGCAATTTTGTACTGTACTGTACTGTACTGTATTTCTACCTTTGCTGGTAATATGTTAAGAAAAGGCTTGCTATTACTTTTGATAGGAAAGTTGAAAAAATCCCTTGAGAGTCAACATTCTACCCCCAAGCAATGATTTTGCCTCTCAAGTTCAGAATGCATGTGGATACAATAATTTAAGGTATGAAACTGAGAAATTATTATACAGGTAGTAGAGTTGGCAGGAATCATTCAGGAGGCAAACTTAACATGTGTGGATAAAATTACCCACTAGGTGAAAATATTATAGAACAGCCATAATTACCGTAAGTATATTGTTATTAGTTGGGGTCATGTTCCTAGGGGTGATCTTTTATGGCATTTTTCTCATAAATGGTGCTGAACTACACTAATATCACATAAAACTTTAAAGAAAGCCTTTTTATTATTATTATTGCTTCTTTAACTAAAAAAATATGAAATGTTAAATGTAAAGATTCACTATGAATGAAATTGTGAAAAACAAAAAAATATTTTGAAAATGTAAAACAATTTAAACAAACATGTGTTTTGAAGGAAGCTTTATGTAAATTTTTTTAACCAAACAACACCAAAAATATCAGATAAAAACATAAGAAATTATGTTAAATGTCGAGCTTAAGGCTTTAACGGTATCCACAGCTCAGTCCCCCATTTCAAAACACCTTGACAAATCCATTTTCACATTATAAACTAACACTTTTCATTTGTCTCTTCTGGACATTACAATATTTTTATTGTACCTTTATAACTTTACTGTTACAAGTTTCTTCATACTGTACTATACGTACTGTATTTCACCATTTTGTCATTATGAAGGATAATTCAAGGTAAAAAAAATAGGGGGAATGTAGATGTATCTCAATTTATGACTTAAATTTCAAAGGGATATTAATGTCCAGTAAATACTGCTATTTATATGGATTTTCAGGAATGCTTCTGGTATACCAAGCAGGCGAAGACTGTACAGTATTTTAAATACCTGGATACGGTAATGAAATGCACATGCCATGTTAAACTATATATTCAATAAGGCCTCTTTTTTTTTTATTAGGGGTTATAATTTTCTTAAATCCTCTTTTTATCATATTCACACAAATCAAACTTAACTTCTAGGAAAAAGAAGAATGGCAATCATGAGTCATGACATTTCCGGTAAGACATCTCTCGGCCCTGCCTCTAGTGGGTGGCCATTAGGAAAATATGGTTAATATTACTGACCCTAAAAATCACATTTCTCACAAAGAAAAAACCCCTTAAAAGGTCTTAAATGATAAACAGGTGTTATTCAAACCAATACATTACTGAACATGTTATACACAATTACATGACTAACAAATATAACTGTGAACTGTACTAACTTAAGGCTATCATATGGCCATGCTTTCATCCATCCTGCCTTGCCTGTAATTCACAATAAAATTGCACTTTTTGTCAATACTGTACATATGCTATCATGGTTTTACTATATAGTTCCACACTACAGTACAGTATATTAAATAAGTACTGTACAGTACAGGTATATTGCATTACATATTACGCTTCCTGTGGTGGACAGACGATCAACTATCAGGCGTCCCAGTCACTTACCGGATGAAGGTACATCTCTTCGGGGGAGTGTGAAGCCCATTATGTGCTGGATATGCACTACAACGAACATTCCAAGACCACCGGCAAAGGCTCCATGAAGAAATTAAGAAAGCAAGTCACAACTTCTACGTCAATGATCTGCCTCTTTCAGTAGCATCACCAGGGAAGGCGGCGATAGTCACTCACCAACTGAGACAGCTGATGAAGAAAGGCAGGTTCACTCACAAAACGGAACTGCAACCACAAAGGGGTCCTCAGAGCAGTCCCACAAACAGAAAGAGCCATGGAAGTGAAAGAAGTACTTTTGAAGGATGACAGGCTCCCAGCTGAGCCGGTATTGGGAATCATGTGGGATCTAGAGAATGATGAACTCGCAGTCAGAGTCCGGATCCCGAAGAAACCGCAGACGAAGCGAGGTCTGAGTATGGTCAGCTCCATATACGACCCATGAGGAATCATCGCTCTGAGCACCATGTGAGCCAAATTCATATTCCAGGACGAGTGCAGGCAAAGTATTGGGTGGGATGAGCAAATGACCGAACACAACAGAGTCGCTTGGCGGCAGTGGCTAATTGAACTCCCCCACTTGTCTCAAGTAGGTATTCCGCGATGTTACCAGCCTGAATGCACAAATCCAGTAACTACAGTACGACTGCATCACTCATGTGACGCTCCCCCAGCAAGCATACAGGGCTGTATCCTACCTCAGGATCACCAGTGGAGACGGAGCCCACTCTACCTCATATTGTGTGTGGCAGAGCCAAACTAGCTCCTCTGAAACAGCAAACCATTCCTCAGCTTGAGCTCTGTGAGGCAGGGTTGGCGGCCAAAGCAGACAAACAACTGAGAGACAAACAAGGGTTGCAGATTGACAGATCAGTGTTCTGGACAGACAGCATGGTTACCCTTCAATTCATACGAAACACTGAATGACGCTTCCATACCTTTGTGGCAAACCGAACTGCAACAATACATAAGAATTCTGATGCAGAACAATGGCGCCATGTGAGCTCCACCCAAAATCCAGCTGATGATGTCAGCCGTGGACTGCATGGGGCAAAATTGAACAAGGACTGCAGATGGATTCAGGGACCCCCCTTTCTCATGTTTGGAGAAAACAATTGGCCGAAGAATCCAAAGCCGATTCCCAACGCAGATGGAAACCCAGAGGTAAAGAGAGATGCAACAGTACTAGCAATGAACACTGACCAGGGGGAGGGTACCCTAAAAGAGCTATGGGCAATGTACTCCTCAAGGCATTAGCTGCTGAAAGGCGTGGCGTGGCTCAGGAGGTTCATACGGTGGCGTTTCAGTGATCCAACGGAAGAACGTCACCAAGAAGATCGACTGAAGGTCAGCGAGTTGGATGAGGCAAGATTAGCTGTCTTCCTCCTGATACAAAAAAGAGGGTTTCCCCCACGAGATGGATGTGCTAGAACGAGGACAACCAGTGAGGACTGGTGACGTAAGCAGGCTGGAACCTCACCTAGGTACAGATGGCCTGATCAGAGTAGGTGGCTGACTGAAGCATGTCGCTCTCCATCCAGACCAAAAGAACCCCATACTGTTACCCAGGGACAGCAGAACCGCAGAATTTATTGTACGAGAGGTACATTCGACCAGGGCTGGCCACTCAGGATGCGAGCACACACTAGCAGCGCTACGCAAGACATACTGGATACCCAAGCGCCATAAGTTGATCGACCGAGTACTGCGTATGTGCGTAATTTGTCGTAGAAG